CTTTCTTTTTGATGTTCTCTCTTGTTTATCTTCAGTTAAATGTATTTCCTTCTTTCATCCTAACGTTTTTGATGTTTTCTGTTTTCGCTGTCTTTGTGTTCTTGTTTTCGTCAGCGTAGTTTTCACATCGTCATCATTTCCTGTTTTCCTTCATCATCATTCAATAAAAATGTCGGGAATGTAACAAAACATATTGAATGGTGGTTTTTCTAAAACAAAAAAAACTGATAAAATCTACTCTGAGAGTCCTTAGAGCATTTTGTGATTGTACGCATACTTTTGTTCTTTGGATATTTCATTCTTTACGTGACATTTTTAAGACGTTTGATTTATTTTCTTACACAATTTAGATCATTTATTAACAGTTTTCAACAATTTCTTTGCATATGTTTTGGGGTTTGAAGCATTTTTGAAGCATTTGTGGCTAATTTCAAATGTTTTTCTTTCTTCTTTTGTTCATCAGTGTAGCTTTTCTTTTTCCATCTGCTTGATTTCCTCTCTGTTCTGCACATCTTCATTCTTTCATCTTTTCTTTTCACTGCGTTACAAACATCTTTCCTTGGATCACAAATAAATGTTATGAGCTGAGATTTACAACCAGTTTAACACACTGTGACTGTCGAGTTAAAACACACCAGCCAGTGTGTGTGTGTGTGTGTGTGTGTGTGTGTCTGTCTGTCTGTCTGTCGCACACACACACACACACACACACACACACACACACACACACACACTGTGAGAGGTGAAGTCATTTCAGTGAAGTAGCTTTCAGCCTGCGATCGTCTTTAATCTGCTCGTTTATACAGAGTGACGCTTGAGTGTGTCACAACCAGAAGGGATTTATTCACACACACACACACACACACACACACACACACACACACACACACACACAGTGTTTATGGTGACAAATGAAAGCCTGATTATTACAAGTGTTTCATTGTTACGCAGCAGGATGACAAGCACCTCTCCCACTCACACATCAGTGGGGTTACCACGGCGATGGAGCTGGAGGTTGGGATGTCATCGCCGAGGAGGAAACCAATTATTCCTCTCAGCCCACACACACACACACACACACACACACACACACAGATCCACAGATTGTGTGTTTCAGCCTCGGCAGCAGGAGATGAAGCTTAATGGACGACACATGACGAATAATTACAAGGACATGAAACAGGAAATAAATCAGAGAATAAAGAATCAGACACCGAAAATGCAAACACACACAGACTGAACAACAGAGGCTGCTGTCATCTGAACACAGTCGNATCTATATGCCACCCCTTTGCCACCCCATTAGTATTTCTCTAGATCCGCCCCTGTTTGGTTTTGGTTCTATGTGACCGTGTGTCTTTACTTCAGTGAGCAGCCAGAACATCAGAAGAACCCAAAGAACCAGTGACCTGCAGCCTTCATTCTCTCAGGTTCTCATTTCTGCGTCATGTGTGATGAACCACAGATAGGCTGGAGCGTGTGCACAGGTGAGCAGCTTACCTGGTTGTTATGGGGCATCCCATAGAGCGCCTCCACCAGGTCAGCTGCTCGCTTCAACAGCACCTCCTGGAAGAGACGAGATCGGATCAGAACACAGCAGGTACTGAGGCTCGTCAGAACTAACCAGGTGTTCTCTGGTCACCAGTGGCAACATGCAGCACCGACCAGGTAGGAGTTTAAAATCCTGTGAGAGAAGGCTGGTTCCATCAGTGGGTAGTTAGATTAGTTACCAGACAACCAGCAGCTGGTAAACCACCACAGAACAAGACGGGTCCACTTCAGTTACACCACAAACCTGCAGACTCCTCATATCACAGAAACAACAGAAAGCATGAGTGTCTTATGTGTGTTTGCCCATAAAAGGCTGCAGGAGAGACGTTCTTTCAGAACCGTGTGGAGGAACCTGAGTGGAGTCCAAAACATCTCAGAACCATCGCTGAAGAACTGGGAACAGTCCAAAAGTATGTGGACACTTCATCACTGAGTTTTATTCTGCTGTAGAACGCTTTCCGTCCACCACATTCAGAACCTTCATGAGTGTGATGTTCTCTGAAAGGTTCCTCAGGCTGCAGGTGATATCAGGAGATCCTGCTGGCAGAACATTCAGCTGCAAAGAAGTGGCAGGTTTTCATCTTTATGACCTGACAGACAGAAAAGTTCTGGACAAACGTTCTCTTCTGATCCACACTGAGGAGAACGTTTGTCCGGACGGGTTCTGCTTCGGTCCACTTTCATTCTGTAAAAACAGATTTAGATCAAAAAAACATTTGAACTCAGACTGAAGCTCAGTTTGTTAACGTGAGTTCAGCTGAACAGAGATCAGCTACACACACACACACATACACACACACACACACACATACACACACACACACACACACACACACACACACACACACACACACACACACACACACACACACACACAGTCTGAGTCTCTAACACTGAACCACTTCT